TGCGCGCTCCCCGGCCCCGCGGAGGCTGCCGGCGCAGGGAGGGCTGCCTGGAAAAACGCGCGCTCCATTCATTGAGCAGCAGCCCGTGCCGGGAAGAGCCTGGAGGAGGGGGCCGAAAACACGGCGAGCGCCCCAGCAGCAGCGGAGCCCGCGGGCGGGGGGCGCCGGCGGCCTGGCCCCCTCCGCGGAGCGCCCCTTGCGCGGAAAACGCTTCGGGGAGCGCCAGAAAAGCGGAGCCCCCTCGTTCTCCCGCTCTGAGTGACACTTAACTCCGCCTGAGCAGCCCAGCTTTGTGCCTCGCACCCTGCCTGCTCCGCCGGGTGCCAGCCCCAGCATCCCTCCCGCCAGCCTCCCTCCGCGCTCCCCTCCTTCCCTATTTTCATGTATTTGTTTTTATTTTTTTTCCATTTTTCCCCTTGTATTTGAATTCATGGAAGGGAAACAACCCGCGCCATCCTAGGCAAGACCAGCGCAGCTGGGCAGGGGCAGCGAGAGCTGCCAGGGGGTCCCCTCGGCAGCCTCCCCAGAACCGACCCAGCAACTAAAGAGCTGGAAGGTTTTAAGCTGGTTTAAGTTAACAAACTGCATTTAATTAGTTTTACCACATCCTGTAATCCGAATGAAATGTATAATATTTAAGACGAGAAGAGTTTTATAGTATTTGTGATTCACTGAATAAATATTTGGAATCTGAACTCTTGGTAATTCATACCCATTTGTAAAAGGCTGGTTAGGCAGAGGAACTAGTTAAGAAAAGTGCTAAAACAATCCTTGTTCTGTGAAGTTGTTTCAGATTTGGTGTTTGTTTCAGATATTTTGTTCCTTAGGATTTTTACTGTATTTTTATTTTGCTTGCTAGTACTCTTTTGTGAGAAACGTCTACATTTCTACATTTCAGTTCAAATCAATTGTGTTTGGAATGGATGTGAATATAATGCATACTTAGAAAAACAGTCCCCAAAATATTCATGAGAGAGAAAGTAACGTAGCTTGCTTTCCAGCTTGCCAGTAGTGAACGTTCTTTTATTTATTTTTCTCAAAAAGTGTTTACTGGAAGCTGCATATGACAATTGTATCTTGTTACAATTATATTTAATTGAAATTAAATAGGTAACTATTAATTTTTGTGTGATCCTTCTTACATGAGAGGTTCCATAGCCATCCTTTTGGAAAAAGTGTTTTTGGATATAATTTACATGTTGGAATACGCAAAGTTTGCACTATTGTTTTTTTCTTTTTTTTTCTTTTAATGCAATTTTAAGAGAAATCAAGCTCTCTTTTAATATGCAAAATAGACTTTTTCTTTACTTGAAGTTGTTTACTCTTCCATGTTGAATTTTACATTTTCTTGTAGCCATTTATACTGTTTATTCATACTAATGGGTTCTAGCTTCTTCTTCAAATCTTCTTGGTTAATTGTAGTTTCTTGCTACAATAGCATGTTTTCCTGTATTTAGGAACCAACTGGTGAACCATCTCCTAAAAGACCAAGAGGAAGACCCAAAGGAAGCAAAAACAAGAGTCCCTCTAAAGCAGCTCAGAAGGTGAGATTATTAAAAAGAGAAGAGTTTCTAAAGTTATATTTTTTTCATCAAATGGCAGCAAATATTCCAGTCATTTGGGCTGTGAACTGTGGGGTTTGAAACTTTGTAATTATGGAAGCCACATCTGCACGTTTTTGTATTTTAAGAGTAGGAATAACATTCTGCAGGAAGACTCTGGGTACAGAAACTCTAAGGGTAAATTACTTTTTGAATATTGTGCAAATTGGTGAAATAACATGATGGATCTGATGCATTTGCTGAGATCTACTGCATATAATAGGGAAATCAGTAGTAAGAATTTTGTTTTCCTGTTTTAAGATTCTTGAAAAAGGAATATTAATTTCTTGCCTGCTTACACATTTTTTTCTATTACAGACCGAATCTGTATATTAAAGCAAAGTGTTTTGTCAAACATACTCTAATTAGAAGTAAATCCAATTATGTGTTGATGGAAATAGCTGCATTTATTGAAATTTACAGCTTCGAAATATGATGGTAAACTGTGAATTACAGTAAAAGCCTACTACAGCTTGTTTACTAATCAGCTTCAAAGCAACTTTTTCTTAAAGTGCTTTCAGTCCTCTGAACCCTATTTCTGTTGGTGATCGTGGCAAATTTTTATTATGGTGGTACTAAATATCCTCAGCAATAGTACAAGCTTACTGAAGTCATTCCGTTCAGTCATGGACCTGAAATCACATACACAGTTTGCACAGTGATTCTATTTTATTTAGATAAGTTTACAGAAGCTCAGCATTGGAGAATGGTACTAACAAAGGAAATAAAACCTTTCTATATGAATAATTTTAGTGGAAGCAAATAGTTGTGCATAGGCTTGAAAATAAACACAGGAGTTTTGTTTATGTAGATGGTTACACAGCAGTTAGCACTAATTTACAGGTACTAAATTGAAAACAAAAGCTTACAAATTCTGGTAGTGAACTGTAATGCTTAAGTGTATCAGTATCTTTTAGCAGTTATATGGCAAAATGTGGCCTCATCAAATTATGGTTAATTTCTCAATATGCCTATAGCACTGACCATATTAAGTTTGATAGTTTTCAGTGTTATAAATTACTATAGCAACTACTGATAATATATTAAATTACTAGGGGTGACTATGGTTTTGTGTCTGTTTTGTTTTAAGTGTTTTCAGCATTTGTTTGAGGGACATTTTCCAACTCTTTAAACTTACAATTGTTTTTTACTTTCTGAACTGAAAAAAGCAGTATATTCTGTCAAAAATTCATAATTTATTTAAAAAAATGCTTTACAAGTTAAGTATTTAAAATGTGTCAAAGCCACTCTGCAACCTAGTGAGCTTAAAATGTTGATTTTTTTACTATAATACAAATGTTCCTCAGATTCACTTTAAAATAGTTTAAACTTCACTCTTCAAAAGAGAGAGAGCAGTTTTTTATTAGTTTAGCAAGTCCAAATGTGAGCTTTAGTATTTTAAATATTACTCTTAGGAGTGTTGGCTTTCCTAGAAGAAATATTTGTAGTAAGATTAAATTTTAAGTAATTCATAGAAATGTGTTTTCAAAAGATATTTCTAAGAGAAATATTAACACTTCTTCATTTAGTTGAGTGATTTGAAAATCAGTATAAATGGAAAGTAACTTAAAATCATTCATATGTATGAATATATCAAATCTAGTCATTCCCATGTGATTGTGGTGTGTATAGTTGTTTTTTAATCCAAGTTATAAACTGAAAAATTTCATGGAAACATTTTGATTTTCAGAGTGCATAAAATTACTGCTCTAATTAAAGCAAACTCTTTTGAGTGCTTTTAATATAAAAACTTGACCAAAGGCCCTCTGTCCTTTTTATCATAAAGAAATCTTTGATAGTTATTAAATTAAAAATCATATTTTTTCTAGGTTTATAGATCAAATATGCATTATTATATTATTAGAACAGTTATTTGATAACTCTTCTCAAACATAAAACAATTGTAAAGCATTTTAGAAAAGAAGCCCCTGAGATCATATATTCCGAGAGGTATTTTAGCTCTTTTTCAAAATAGATCATTAACCTTCTCTAAAATGGTTCAGCTTCTTACCTGACATCTCAAAATTTCTTTTTAATGTCATTTTGATTTTGACAATGTAGCTAATAGCAATGTGAATTGAAAGGTTTTGGCACTGTAAGGCACATTTGGTAGTGAAGGTGTCAGCTCTTAAAAGAAGTGAACTATGTTTGATTTTCTGGTAAACATATTTACACAGACATACACATACATATATTTATTTAAAGCTTTCTACACCCTGTCCTGACTCTCAGAAAGAGAGTAGGCTGACTTTACTTAAGCCCCTGTCTATATGAACTTGGAGACTATAGATGCAACTGAAATTGCTGGTATTTCTAAGCAGCACCGTGTGGCCTGTGTCGTTCAATGTGAGCTCACTGCAGTGTGCTCTGGAGTTCACAACATGTTTATAGGGTAAACGTCCGCCACTCATGAAGGCACTCATGATTAATTGATGGGGTGTTCTCTTGCAGCCCATTACACATCACAATTAAAAATGTATTACACAAACTGGTGAGGTGGTATAATACTCACACAAGCCCCGGGACTTTGTTTTGTTATACTTGAAAAAGTAAATACCTTTAAATCAGTTTGGGGACAAATTGCCCTAGAATCATGATTGCATGATTGTGTTGTGCATTTAAATTTCTTGGTTCATGGGATTTTTTTTTTTGAGTTCAGAGCTTGTGTTTGGTCTTAGTAAACTGGCCTTGGGGCATTTGAAAACAAACTGTGCTTGTTAGGAAATTAGCAATGTGAAACTTGACAATGCATACAGAATGTTGCAAGACCAATTGGACAGCTAATAATTACTCTAATTTCAGATAATGCACATAAAAAAGAATGTGCATATCATAGATATCTAACTTGTTATCAAATGCATGCAAAAGGTAAGCCTGCATTTTATAGAAAAAAAATCATTTCTCAATTGTTTAATTTTCACAAGCAGAATGAACACAACATGCAAGCAGACGGCAGGTGATAGACTCCTGTAAAATGACTGTAATCACCTCATGCTTGAGGTTTATTCTCCACAATTATGCTGTTACTGCAGACTGTGCCTTTGAACAAGTCATACTGTTATTCATTTAAAATATTTGTAAAAAATTAGCAAGAAAGTGAAGTTTTTCTTTTTTCCTAGGGACCAGCTTTAGTTGTGCAGAAAGCTGATAGCAGGGATGTTCCTTCCCAATTTCCTGGGGGGTTCTGTGGCTGAGTTTTATTTGTCAGGCTGAGCTGTGTTCCCAGCCCATCTCATTTCCCTTCAGCATTCAAGGTTTTTCTTTTTTTTTTTTGTTTTTGTTTAGGACCTGTAGTTGTGTTTGATAAAAGTATCGTATAGGCATAACTGCTGTCCTGCTTGGAAGGAACACAATTACGAGGATTAAAAAAATGTATATAATTATTACATGTTTGTGTCATATAGAAAACGTTATGGGGATAGCCCTGCAGTATCCAACAGCACAAGCTCTTTAGTAATGTTCACTGGCAGTTAAAAGATTTTGAGTATTGTTGAATTTGTTGTTAAAGTAGTTATTTGTTTTTGAATTAAAGTGTATCCTGGTCTGGATAACTGGAAACTCTGAAAACTGGCACTTGTGGTACTATGTGTGTGGCTGCATCTACTACTGTTTCTACGTTACATGGCCAGAGGCTGTTACGTAGAAAGGCAGTGAGTTGAGCAGTCCAAAGGTAAAAAAAAGAGGAAAAAAAAAAAAAAGAGTGCACGTGATCAGCACTCTGCCCTACATTGGTTCCTGAAAATCTGTTTGGCTTCTCCATGCCTCATTCATTCTCACCAACAGCAGTCATAACAGGCTTAAAGGGAAAACAGGATCAGTTTTAATAAACGTCGCAGTATGGTTGTTGTACCTAAAAACGAAGAGATCACACATTAGATGTTTTGAGCAAGGTGTGAGAAGCACAAGATTGGCTCCTGCTTAGAGACAGAGCAGGAAAAATAGAACATGGAAGGTGCATTTTTTTTTCATCTAGCCAATGTCCAGGTTTCTTCCGAGACTTTTTTTTGTAAACAAAATACCTTTATTTTTTTTAGGAGAGGGCCACCTCCCTATGTAGGTTCTTTTGACATGGCCTGACAGAAGTGATCTTTGCTCTGAGAACTTTTGGTTCCTTCACCTGACTTACATCTCTGACACATTTTTTCTGAGGTCCCCAGCAGATCACTTTGCAGAGTGGATCGAGTTCCCCAAATTTGGATTCTGTTGCGTTTGCCATCCTCCTGGACAATAGACGGATGCCCAAAGAGCACTTTATAGCCATTCAATTATTCATACTTGTCTTGCCTGGTTAATTGCCTTCGGCAGTGCAGCTTCAGTGCCTGTTTGGGCATGGCACCTTTATGCAACAAGGAGGCAGAGATGATGGGCAGTCAGGTACTACGATTGCTGACAGCAGCTGTTTGGAAGCAGCATTTGATGGCCTGGTGGTACAGGACTTACTTAGTGAATTGCAAATCTGTTAACTCTCCTTGGTAAGCAATAGTCATCGTTCTCACCCGAGACAAAAATACCATTTTCTATACAGATCGTGTGCTTAAAAGCAGCTACATCTAGTTTAATTCCTGAAATGTGACATAGTTCTATTCCTGAAATGTGACATAGCAAAAAGGATTCCTATTATTGTTCATAGGAAGTCTTAGAATTTTTCATGAAATACCATAAAACTGTGTTTGATCCAGCCCTCCTTTACATTTGGTCATTTTATGCAAACCTACATCTAGTCATTCAGAAGAAGATCATGCTGTACAGTGCAGCATCAACTGTTAAGAGGATCCTGAGCAAACACATCTCACTTTCAAAAAGTGCCTTAGAGGATTAAGGCAGCAGCTTCCTTTTTGCCAAGACACTTGCAAGCTGCTGTGCGTAGGGTGCCTGAGAATACTTGCATCTTGCTGCCCAAATAAGATTTGTTCTAATCTCGGGGTAGCTTGGGGTTCTCTCCAGCTTCAGAGGCAGCACTCTGATTAAAGCAAAAAGTCAACAGACTAGCCTGTTTTCAGTGATGTAAATATCTGTTTAAGTGGAAAACCACTGCTTTGGGACTTATCCTTTCTTAGGAGTTGCATGAAAATTGCATGGAGAAACATTTAATTATTTGCCTGATGAACAATTAAAACATATCTTCCAGTATTTAATTTAAAAGGCAGTCCTATGCTTTTGGAGGAAATATGGCCTATGTTTGCAAAATGAAAAATAAAAGAAATCCAAATGAAAAGAGATGGAAATTTTTTTTTAAACTTCATGTCTTCATTATCACCGTTGGACTGCCACTACTCCTCCTCAGTTGCTCCCAAAGTGTTTTGTCTTTCTCTTCCCTTAGAATGGAGATAAAAATGTCCACTTTGGAGGTTCTTGTCATTTATTTTTTCTGCAGTTTAGTCTATGGAAGCCCTCCTATTTGCTTACAGAATCTCTCTATACCGAAACATAGTATGTGGCATGCCCTGCTGTTTGCTCAGCTCACCTCAGGGAAAGATTTGGTTTTGATAAGAACCGTGGAAATGTTTTTC